GGGGGGCCCCTTTTTAATGTTTGCTCCCCCTGCTCTTAGAACCTGGCTACGCCACTGGTTCCACGGTAGCACACCTTCAATTTACATCTGCACTGCAGTCTGGCACAGTGCTGCCTGCACATGACAGGAGCATAGAGACAAGCACTCTCTTGTGCATTGTTCTGCATCCATGTCACGCAATTTATGGGGGGGGGGGTTCAGCTGCTATGCTCTGGGCTGGAAGATCCAGCCCAGGGTATTCAATTTCTTATGCAAGAGTCTCATTTTTCTGTTTCACTCTATATCTATAGATTAATAGCGATTTTGAAAAATTACAGGTGTAGTCTCCTCTGGATATCTGAGGATTTATACACAACTCTCATCAGTGCTAATGGGGCCTGGGAAGGATGTGCCTAAATCCCTGCATAAAAGAGAGGAAGTAATAGCAGTCTAAGATTTATTTATTCCAGATTGAAAAACCATGTAAAGTGCATTGCAATAATTATTACAACTCTGATTTAGTGTGTGCAAGAAATAGGTGACCCAGAGGTTGCCTGGTAACTGCTTTTCATGAGTACTGTAAAGTCCAGACAATTCCCATTATCAATGTTTTATCGCTTGTTTCAAATTCTTCTTATACACAATAAGAAGTACTTTCTCTGGCTGTAAACATTTTCCTTTCTACATACATACAGCATTTCTCTTTTGTATTAGTCTTCAATTGAGGCTAGATACAGTATGTGCCATTTTAGGTTAATAAAATTATACTTTTGCAATTATTCATCACAGAAGCCAGTAATACTATTAATCATTCCTTCAAATTGTTCTTTCACACAATGGAATGTTCTTTCAGTAAAATGTACAAAGTGTTCTTATTGAACATTTCATTAAATCAGTTCACCTAGTGCTTTTGGCAGTATGTTTACTATGACATCTGTGTATATATATAAAATATTTAGTGGTTTGTTTAAATTTCTTTATTACCTGACCTGGATATAGAGATTTTTTTCCTCCTTCTCCCTATTGTAAAGGTTTGTGTATGTAGAAGGCCATACTATGGGTCCATAACCCATTTTTGTGTTCATACAATGCATCTGCCTTTTCCTTTACTTGTGAGGAGCTGAAAAATGTGGGTCAAAGGTAAATTGTACAAAGTGTCAGGAAAGAGTAAATGCTGAACCTAGCTGATTTGGTAGATTTCAAATCATGTGAGCAGAAATTGCTATGGATCAGGTGTCAATTCTGCTTGACTATTGGAGGATCCGCAAAGAGAACTAGCTGGTGGTTGATAACCATCTGACTAACTAGAGTGGCTACTTTTTAACTTGAGGGGAGAAAAGCCAGAGCAAGTGATTTAAACATGTTTTTTTTTAAGCAGAGCTATTTGCAAGTTTGCAGTTGATGACAATAAATCAATACCTTAGGGTATGTCCATATGTTCATGGGTTCTCCAATACAAGGCCTTGAACTTTAGCTTTACTTTGTCTAAACTTCCTATGAAATATGTTTAACAGGATTAAAATATCAGATGGTCATTACTTTTTAAACCAGTCATTTACTTGTTTCCCCTTTACATTTTTATTTCAACTAACATATTGTATGCATGAAAATGTTCATAAGTCTATTTTTCTGCTATCATAAAATAAATTATGTATCAGAAATAAAGTGTTCCCCCTCTGTAGCTAAACAGCACTAACTTGAAACATCAAAACTGACTGCAGCATTGTACAAAGATTACACATACATCAAATAACAGTTTTTGTTTAAAAAAATAACCTACATATATTCCACATTCTATCAATGTAATTATTAAATTTTGAGGCATATAGTGAAGTAATGTACTTACTGAAACAGACTGTACTGTAGATGACTTTTCAATAACCCTTGAAGTCACTGAAGTCAATGGCAAATTCTTATCAACTTTAGTGATGCAGGATCTGACCTTTAGTAAGCACAGTTTGTAGCTAATGCATCATGCATTGATGCATCACTCTGGTAAATCTTTACTGAGAAGTTCAGACTTGACACAGGAGTTCAGTCTACTTCAATTGATTTGGTTCTTATTTAACTGAGATCCACTGAAACAGACATGGCCCAAGATTTTCAAGTGTTAAGCAGCTAACAAAGTGGCCTGATTTTCAGAGGTTGTGAGCACCTGCAGCTCCTTTGGACACAGGGCCGGCTCCAGCTTTTTTGCTGCCCCAAGTGGCGAAGCGAAAAAATAAAAATAAAAAAAAGATAAAGCCGTGATCTCTACCGTGCCATTTCATTCTTCGGTGGCAATTCGGCGGCGGGTCCTTCCCTCTGAGCGGGACTGAGGGACCCACCGCCAAATTGCTGCCAAAGACCCGGACGTGCCGCCTCTCTCCATTGGCCGCCCCAAGCACCTGCTTCCTTCGCTGGTGCCTAGAGCCGGTCCTGTTTGGAGATCACTAATTTGGCCATGGACTTATGTGCATCATCAGACCGTTGACTCAATATACAGAATTTACAACATCCATTCTCTAGATATCTCCTTTGATACAAATACACACAAACACATGCAGTGAGAACTATTTCCATAGAAGCCTCCTAAAACTTCTGTCTTAATTTTGAAGGCCTGGCCTTGAGAGTTGTTGAGGGCCATCTACTCTTGTCTTCCAAAATATCTACTTTACTGGAAGTCATGGAGTGATATTTCTCACCATGTATCCATAGGGGGGAAAAGAATGATTTAAACATAGAAGAAATAAATATGTAGCACCGTGACACAAAGACCCCTTGGCAAAGGGTCCCGTGTTCTTTGCAAAAAGCTCTCACCTCAGACCAGACAAACTCACTGCCCCAAACATGTCTTACAGGCTGTTTATCCCTATAGACTAAAAGCAGAAGTTCTCAAACTGTGTCTCAGGACCACACAGGGGGTCGCTATCCCATTTTAATGGGGTTGCCAGGGCTGGTGTTAAACTTGCTCGGGCCTGGGGCTGAAGCCTGAGGGCTTCAGTCCAGGGTGGTGGGGCTTGGGCTTCAGCCCCCAACCTGGGGTTGTGTAGTAATTTTTGTCATCAGAAGGGGGTCACAGTGCAATGATGTTTGAGAACCGCTGGAGTAAAGTAATGTATCTACAGAAATCTCAGAACTTGTCAGGACCTAGTCAATGTGAGACATATGTATGGATAATATTTAATGAATGTTATATTTATAATGAAAGTATGCTTTACGGAGTTGGAGTAGAGGTAATGCATCTCAGTGATGCTCAGTGAATGGATACAGAGTACCTTTCCCTCCATTCTGTTATATTGAAAACAATCTTTGGTTTTTATTCACAGTCAGGGCAAACCCATGCCTTACTGTAGAGTTTCTTTTCTACTTTTAAGTGGTTTTGACCGTTTGTCATTGTCTCTGACGGTTTTCCATTGACTGTTATGGGATGTGCAAGGGTAGACAGTAGAAAAAATATATCCATCCCATAACAGTCAATGGAAAACCGTCAGAGACAATGACAAACGGTCAAAACCACTTAAAAGTAGAAAAGAAACTCTACAGTAAGGCATGGGTTTGCCCTGACTGTGAATAAAAACCAAAGATTGTTTTCAATATAACAGAATGGAGGGAAAGGTACTCTGTATCCATTCACTGAGCAAATCCCTTCCAAACGCCTTTGTGAGAGTTTGGCTCCTGGTTCTTGAGGAACCAGCCAGCTTTGCAATTGACTGAACTTTGGAGGAAAACCTATTTTATTAGATAGAAACGGTAACTATTGATAAGCTTAGACCCAGGTTCTGTATTGTATTGTAATCACTTGTTTCCACCTCTATTTCTTGTTTCTAGTTAAATCTTTATTCTTTCTTAAGTAAAGATTTTTGTTGTTGTTGTTTTATTATAAATGCTCACAAATATTATGTGGTTTACAGGAGCGGTAGTTTAAAATAAAACATAAACTGGGGCATGCTGCACCATTGGGTGAGAAGATCTGGAAATTTTGTGACTAGATTGTGTCTGAGGCTGACTCAAATGGTTTCAGGTTTGGGATGCAACAATTGTTAGTCTATGAGGCGAAGGAAAGGCTGGCATAGCCCAGAGGAGAGTGCTTGAGTGGCTGAAGGGCTGGCAATTTCAGGAAACTGCCACAAGCAAGACTCTCTCACACTGGAGGCAGGGGGGTAACAAGAAGACTCTCTGTTCTGGCTACCCCAAGAACCGACACAAGCATTATAAATGTTAGTTAAACAGAACATGTAAGTCCATTTACTAGTCTGGCACCCCCCCTAGATGGATCCAAATTTCCATCAGATTGTCTGTGTATCTTTGCTCTAAATAAACACATACAGTCCTACAGCCACAAATTCCCAGCTAGCATTGTTTAAGTGATAATGTTATAGCAATTGGAATCCTTGCCTAATTTTGGTTTGAGCTATCAGATCACATTGCTTTTCTCTGTCGTTACACAGGAGTCTACTAAACAAAAGCTCTTCATAAACTCTATGTGTAAAATAGTGTTCAAATATCAATAGTATATATCAAACTAGTTTAAACATCTGGTAAGTAAATAGAATTCTGTTCAAGTCTGTGTTATGGGATCTTTTCTTGGTTGTGGGAAAAAACATTTCATTCAAGACCATTGTGTATCTGTATCTATTGTTTAAGTGCACATATTCATTAGAAATTTGCAAAGATTCAAACATTTCATGGGAACTAGGTAATGTAATATGCGGTATAATAGAGGGTCCAATCCTGTGAGGTGTTCAGAGATTCCTATAAGGTCGTGAGCACCCTCAATGCTCACTGGCTTAGGTGGAAGCTTAATGGCATGCAGTATCTTTCAAGAGTATGTCTTAAAGTGCTTATGAAACACCTATGCCTGGATTACATTTACAAGAGAATTACCCGATAGCTTTTGAGAGGGTATTTGCTACTTTAGTGCTTTGGCAGAACAGTGAGACAAAGCTTTTATTTCTTCTAATTTTCACATCACGGTTCAACAGGTAGCGTTATACAACATTGTGTTACACCTGCTATGACATACAACACCATGTGACACAAAATAACCTGAAGAAATATGATGCCCCTTATTGTAAATTATAACAAAAAATTACATGTTCAGTAACCATGAATAATTTTCTTAACAAATCCTCTGCCCAAACCTTTATACTGATACAAAAATACATATACTATCCTTGAACTTGTGGGCGGGTCAGAGGATTTTTAATGTATCCCTTCATTTAGCTTTCACTTATGTGTTTTCTTCAGCCCATAAACATAGAGATCATCCTACGGTCACATTCAGGCACCTGCAGCTGGATTTATGGTGGGCTGACCTGCTGTCAAATACAAAGGCTTTCACATTTATTCCAGACTGTGCCCGCTCATGACACTAAAATGAGATGCCACTCACAGTAGATTTTCCAGCTCCTCATAATCTGATCCACCTCCATTCTGGTCAGCAATGAAACAGTTGACAATTTAAATGTTAACATTGTTATTTATTAGGCTTCTTAAAATAACTCCTTGGAGAGGAATAGATCATTTCACACCTTTCAGAGCAATTGTCACAATCTGTCTGCAGACTCAGGAAAACATCACTGCATCACTTATACTCAATTCATGTTTTGAAGGCTTTCTTTGTAAATATACATACACACAAACACACACACACACAGGGCAAGATTTTTAAAAGTATCAATTTAGGTTGTCTTAGTGCCAAGCTTGAAAAGGGGCCTGTTTTCAGACAGTATTGTGCAGCCGTCTTCTTTTTTAAAAAAAAAGGCCCTTTAAAGATGTCTCAGTCACTTTTGAAAGTCTTTGTCTAAGGCTTGTAATTTATTAATAGAACTATTCCCCCTTGGGTTAATAAAAATTACCTCCTATGGGTAATAATGCCCTCTACTAGTAGCTTCAGGCCTCATCTCCCACAGACAGCCACTCTTTCAATTCAAAGGACAGGAGCTTTCCATAATTACCCTCTACTCCAGTTAATATGTAACATGACATATGTATAATGAGAGACTTATGTATGAAGGGGAAGAGGTTAGTTTTACTTGGGGAAAGCTTTGACAGTGCAGTTCTTATTATCTGTTCTATTGCCTCGGATGTGCGCACACAAATTTAATTTTAGACACCAATTCCAATAATGCTTTATTAGAAGTGACTATGAATAAGTTTTAATTACCAAGGTCAAAAGGGAAGCATCAGCCTTAGTGGTTTGTCTAGACAGAAGAATGTTTTATATACAGCATTAAATCCCTAAGGAGATCTCCAATTGTATCAAAAATACTGCCACATGATTAAAAATACTCTTTGTTTAAGGCTTGTATTCAGTTGTCTGACCAAGCCAAAAGCTATTTAATATCTCTGACTTCAAAACTGGAGTTACAATAGCAGAAAATCACAATCTATTTTCTCTAAAGGAATACCTATAATAAGCCTGATCCTACATGATGTGTACCCTTTGCACCTGCTCTCGACTCAGATCTAGAGATCATGGAAGTCAACGGTAGTTACAGGCAATTTGCACGATATGTTGTTTGTCATTTTATTTTTACCAAACTAAAGGAGGGGAATCATGAGCAGGAGCTGCACCCAATGCAATACACCAGTTATGTAGAATTTTTTTCATTGTTCCTCTGTCTATTTGTTGTATAGACCTGTTCTCTATAGTCTGATACTTAGACTGTAAGCTCTTTGAGGCAGGGACCATCTCGTTGTTATGTTTGTCTAGTGCCTAGCACAATGGGGCCCTGGCTGTTAAGTGCTACCACAAAACAATAAATAACTGTTCATAGGTAAGGCTGCGGATTCCGTGACTTTCTGTGACCTCCATAATTTCTGCAGTGGCTGGTGTGCCTGATTCAGGGGCCGCTTAGGCAGCCCCTGTGCCGGTCACACTGGCTGCTCCTGGGGCAGTCTCGGGCCCCCACGCCCCCACATCCAGCAGCAGAGTTTGGGTGTCAGAAGGGCCAGAGGGTTAGGCCATGGGATTGGGTGAGGTGGGCTCTGAGTGGTGCTTACCTGGGTGGGGGCTCCCCAGAAGCGACTACATCCCCCTCGCTCAGTTCCTAGGTGGAGGCGTGGCCAGGCAGCTCCACGTGCTGCCTCCATCTGCAGGCAC